TGAACAACATGGAAAATAACACAAATGCCTTTTCAGACCATGTAAGTTGATACATTTAAGTCAGGAATAACAAGCTAACCATTTATGACAGTGCAAGGAATTTGTCCATGAACACATGAAAATAGAACATGTCCATCTTACACTTCATTGTCTCCATCACACCCTCATCCCTCTGTATTCTTTGGATGAGCACATCTTCTTGAGCAGAGACCACAAAATCACACCAACTCATCCCTGTAGTTAGCAGCTGGCCCTGAACTTGCCAATAATAGGCATGTGATGGTTTAAGCTGCAATGTCCCACTGATGACCTTGAGGTAAGGTGCGTCTACATAATTTTTAATGTTTGGACATTTTATTTCTAATAGGCCAAATTGAGGTTGCTCTAAGGGGTCAAAAATGATACCATCTGGTGATGCACCAATCCATGGTGCATCCGGGTGCACCACAAATCGACATTTGTAGTGGTTCACTCGTTTTATCTGGCAGCATTCCCAGATACCATCTGCCTCTAACTCTAAACCCCTCTTCATAGGGCCTGTCTGGAGAGTACCTTTCAAGATGCGTTCAGCCAGCAGCTCTTTGGAGAGCTCACCCACATGACAGATCTCTCTAAATCGAGATGCAGTCACTCATGGTCTCCGTACATTGTGCCAATCGGCACACACACTCTGCTCTCGCGTAGCACATTCTATGCTCTGGGACATTTCGAGGGTTACCTCAAGACTTTTCATGTGCAGCTGTTGCTTCCTGGAACAGACAAACATGCATTCTGATTGTTTCAGTCTGTAGTCTTGCAGAGGCAATGGTGGAGGAGGTGGAGCATTATGGAGGGTCTTCACTTTCTCTTTGGATGGTTGCTGATAAGAAAGTGGACTTCCTTGTTGCACCTTGACGAGCAGTGAGTCCACCAGTGGGATATCTTCGCCTATTCCCATGCTGCAGATCATAGGCCGGACAGCATCGGAGAAAGGTTGGTAGACTTCAGAAACCCGCAGAGCCGAGAGGTCAGGAAGGTACGGGGGCCCTGAAGTGCAAACCACAAAAACAAATCACTTAACGCACAACAAACTGAAAAGCGCAATAACAAATTCACTAAATGCAACAAAAAATCACTAAGCGCAAAAACAAATCACTAAACGCACAACAAATTGAAAAACGCAACAACAAATTCACTAAACACAAAAACAAATCACTAAACGCACAACAAATTGAAAAGCGCAACAACAAATTCACTAAACACAAAAAAAATCACTAAACGCACAACAAATTGAAATGCGCAAAAACAAATTCACTAAATGCAACAAAAAATCACTAAGCGCAAAAACAAATCACTAAACACACAACAAATTGAAAAGCGCAACAACAAATTCACTAAACACAAAAACAAATCACTAACGCACAACAAATTGAAAAGCACAACAACAAATTCACTAAACGCAAAACCAAATTGAAAACACAAACCGGAAAAGGTAGGTACCAGTGCTGCAACAACAGGCATCACTGATTGGATGATGGATCCGCTGGCCTTTTGAACCAGAAGTTGTTCTACCGAACGTGGTTATGTGAAAGAGCAGTCAGCGGGTGTGTCCGAGGTCTGAATCAACAGGCAGGATGCTTACAAGTACGGGTCCTCACCGGTCTAGCAAGGCCGGGTCCTTGAAGACCCCTAAGACCAGAACCCAGTGGCTCTGAATTCGGACAGCCTAGCCTTTACCTCTGCGGTGGCCCGTAGGTCCTGTCACAGCCGTGGCGGCAGCTACACGCAAAGGAAAAATGCTAAAGCTAGCGAAAATCAAGCAGGAATATTAAGGAGCTACAGCAGCTTCATGTCTATCAGCAGCGTTTGTTCACAAACGTTTTCAGGTAAAGTAACTTTGTTTATTCTAGAAGCTTTCAGGACTTACATGTTAACTTTAGATGGTTTAATGTATGTTTTAAGCTACAGAATGAACTTGTTAAATGTACACAACACATTTCTACAGAGTTTTATCATGTAGGTAAGCTTTGGTTAGGAGGTTCATAAACACATGAGATGCCATTTGCCGGTCTACATACCCTGCCTGTTTATGGACTCAACTTTGCGGGCAGAGAGGACGCAGCGGCAACGGCTCAAATATTCCTGCGGCGCCTGCACACGGCAGCTGCAACATTCACAAAATCGCTCCACTAAAACAAAATAATTCACTTGCGATCGTTCATATCAGCACATACTCTCTGGTATTTTGTGCTTTTCTGACGTATTTTGCCTCAGCTGAGTTCATAATCTGTGCCCCGGTGATTTAAACTCATTACTGCTGGAGCGCCGCGCATGTGAAGATCCCTCTGGCTGATAGAAAGTAGGAAGTCTAGGAAACAGTTTTTTCTGGAAGACGGAGAAAACATGCAGCATGCAGGAAGGTTAGAGAGAGAAAGGGCAGGAAATTATTCAAATAAAATCAAGAAAACAAAACAAAGTGCTTGAAAAGAAAAAAGTAGGTAGATTTATCCCCAAATACTCATTTTTACCAGTGAAAAGCAATAATAGATAAGCATTTAATATTTATACATGTGATAGAATCAGGTCACCCTCAAAGGTCAGTCCCACACCCAGGGCTGTATCAAGGCATTTGGGGACCAAGGCAAATATAGGCTTGGAGCCCCCACCACCTCATTCCCTGCTCAGATGGCCCTATAAGATGGCAGAGTGCTGAGAGTACAGATTGTTGTTGCTTTTATTTAATAAACAATTATTTTAAAGCACTGTTATTATATCTGACTGTTTTTAACAGCAATCCTAGCTCAGACATCACATCACCTTCCACATATATGTCATGAGCTCACTGATCGTCACATTACCAGATTCATATTGAAGTTGTATTGGTAAAAGTAACTTAAAGTAATGCAAAAGTAGTGTAATGCCTTACAAAATCAGTAATATTGTTATGTAATGAATTACTTTAAAACGAGGGTAACAAGTAATAAATAATGCATTACAGTTTTGAAGTAACTTGCCCAACACTGCCTGGGATACATCCGGGTCACGACAATTTGTTGGCATCTGGTGAGACCCAAGCCTGGGTCTTGATGGTTCAGCTTTTATTCTGAAAGGAACTGTTGCAGCAGTTGGAATAGCAACAAATTTTTCAGCTGGTCCTTGGTTCTTTTTGGTTGAAGAGTAGTTCAGGATTGGCCACTCCATCACTTTCTCTGGAACGCTTTGAACTGGCGTTAGAGATGATGTGGCATAGTTTTATACTTCGGCTGTTCTGGTTTATTGTCGAATGAATATGTGTGATAAGGCTGGTTGAGACGCCAACCAGTCCTGCTACATCTACATACAAACAGTCCAAAGAACTGGGTGTGAGCGTAGCCTCTGTGTGGCCCTCCACATACGGTCCCTTGAACACCCAGATGGTCTGTTACACATACGTTTCTGGTTCTGATCAAGTGGCCAAGCAGTCAACAATATTTACATACAAACAGTCCCAAGTCAATAGAACTCCGGACGTCACGTGACTCCCAGAGAGTAGACGCCATCTTGGCAGGCAATAAAGGTAAACAAAATGAACGGGATCGGCTTGGATTTTACTCAATCTGAGTTTACTTCACACTTTTTAAAACCAAAGAAATCGTTTTATATAGTCAGAAATGAAATAGACTAAACATCTCCGACCATTACCATGCACCTGGGATACTTTTTAAAAACACCAGAAGCTGTCGGAGCGGACCTGGCCAGGGAACGCCTTGGGATTTCCCCGGACGAGCTGGCCCAAGTGGCTGGGGAGAGGGAAGTCTGGGCCTCTCGACTTAGGCTACTGCCCCCGCGACCCGACTCCGGATAAGCGGATGAAAATGGATGGATAGATGGACAAATAACATAGATTTACACGTAAGTAGTTTAAATAGAGTGCTGTGCTGTTTGAATGTATAAACTGAACACCAAGAGAAATCACTAGTCTGATTTTTTTCCGTGAATAAAATAAATATGTCAGGCAGGAGCGTCTCAGGATCTGTCTGAGATCTGTCTCGGTGAGACAAATAGCAATCCAAAGTGTTTTTCATGTGTGATCTGACAATTGATCAACCATTGCTTAAAAATGAAATACAGCTTAGCCAGTTAATTGCTGTAATCATAAGACACGTAAATGGCAGCACGCAGAAATCACGAGGCAACGTTTTACGTGATGTTTATTTGTTGCTATGAGTAATAAGACAGAAAAAGCCACACCAAAATAAGTTTAGGAAGCCCACTAAGAATCGTAATAAAAACATTTAAAATAAATACCATATTCAGTTGAGGAAACGTTTGTTTACGTACCTGATATGAAGTGGTCGCTGCATATATAAAAACCTTTACTTTCGGCATCCCACAGTTTCATTTTAGCCCTGTCACTAGCGCGTTTAACTGCAATGATCCAATGTTTGTGGCGTTCCAGATCTTGGGGAATCCTGTAGAAGGCTCATCCCTTATGTCGTCCGCGTCTGTTCTGCATCCTGGGGCACAACAGGAATCTACCATATTTCCCATTTGATATAGTTTTCTGACAATAAGAAATAGCTCAGCTGCGTGCTTCTGCCTGCCAAGATGGAGCCGTTACGATTTGAATGGTTGCATGCCGGAAGAAGTGACGTCAACTCCCGGAGCTCTATATATATGTCTGTGGTCTCAAGAACTGGGTGTGAGTGTAGCCTCGTTGTGGTCCCCCACAACATGATGAACATGAGCTTTAAAAACTCTGGACATCTTCTGTGATTTAGATTCATCATATTTTTCCACTAGTTTCAGCTGTGTCTCATTTAGTAATAAAACATGATCTAGGTCTAGAAGCAGACTCTTGTTTGTCATTGATTGTTTATTTTTGTGGAACCCCCCCCCCTTTTTGTTTCTTCTTTTCTCTTTCACCTCTGTCTCCATGTCTGGTCGGAATTACAAAGCATTCAAAAATCAATAACAATAAAGTTTACAGCCAGACAGGACACGAGAAAAAAAAGTAATAAAACGTGATTGTGAACGCTCCCTCAAGTTAAGACAAGTTTATTATATAGCCCATTTCATACACAAAATGGTAGCCCAAAGTGCTTCACATAGTTAAAACTATCACGAGTGAAATGAAATAGATAAAATGTCACATCATGTTGTGTAAAATCAAATCAAAGTATATTGACACAGAACATAGTACACAAAAATAAAAGCATATAAAGTACATTTACTTTAAAATGTAGACCAAAGATAAAACAGTACATAATAGGTATACATATAAAATACATATTGAATAAATTTAACACAGTACAGATAAAGACCTAGTAGAGCACAGATGCAAGGATAGGTTAATGGAAGGCATCATGAAAAAGTTTAGTTTTTAATTAGTTTTCAGACCTGTGGAGAAAAAAAAAACCTACAAGATGCAGAAAAAAAGGACAAACCTCAAACCTTCATATTGTCAGCAATAAACACTAAAACTTAACTTTCCTGACCAAAAAACCCCCATAAAATGTATTCATTAAATCAGGAGAGCAAGAACAAATCTTATTTCTGATTTTACATTTTTATTTCAATTCAAACTATTTAGACTTTTGTGTTTTCATCACATTTAGCTTGTATTTTATTTAAAATATCATCAGCTTTACAGGTTAGCTGTTCTTGTGTGCTCAACAACTTATGTTACCAACTTTAAAAAAAATTACCAAATCATTCACATGAAGTAGATTTGTTATTCATTATCTGGAAGTATTTGATTAGTTTAAAAAACTAAATATGTTTTGTTTAATTTGGTTTTCAGAATGTCACTTGTTTATTTATACTAAAAAAATGTATGTACTCAAATACAGAGAAATCAACTTGTTAGTACAATGCATGTTAATATAGTAAGTATAGCATGTTTAACAAAAGCACATTCACACATGGAAAGTATAAATGTAAATAAATCATATGGCAGTAACTCTGCTGTACTTTCATTGTGTAAAAGTAGCTCACGGGCCAATAAATGTTAGAGACCCCTGCAATAGATCATTCAGCCTTAGTGGATGCTTAGATTATTGTTTAAAAGTTTTCTTTCGGCAAAATCTTCGTCCACAGAGCTCACACGCAAAAGGCTTCTGTCATTTGTGAACTCTTTTGTGTCTGTTTAAATGTGACTTTTGGGTAAATCTTTTTACACAGAGCTCACAGGTGAAAGGCTTCTGTCCTGTGTGAACACTCATGTGTCTGATTAAAGTCGACTTTCTGCTAAATCCTTTCACACAGAGCTCACAAGCAAAGGGCTTTTCTCCTGTGTGGACTCTCATGTGTCTGTTTAAATTTGTCTTTTTGCTAAATCTATTTCCACAGAACTTACAGGTGAAAGGCTTCTGTCCTGTGTGGACTCTCATGTGTGTGTTTAAACTACCCTTTAGACTAAATCTTTGTCCACAGAGCTCACAAGCAAAAGGCTTCTGTCCTGTGTGGACTCTCATGTGTGTCTTTAAATTACCCTTTAGGCTAAATCTTTGTCCACAGAGCTCACAAGCAAAAGGCTTCTCTCCTGTGTGGACTCTCATGTGACTGTTTAAAAGTGTCCTATGACGAAAAGATTTGTTGACAGACCTAAAATCTGACTCAGAACACCTGTTCTCATTCCAGTCATTGTCTCGGTCTCCAGTTTCAGACCCAGAGACTGACAGCTCAGAGTTTAGAGTTGCATCATCATCATCTCCAACGTCAGTCTCTGAAGAATCAGGAGTCAGTTCATGAGGGTTCAGATATGGGTTCCGGCTAGTTTCTACTCCACCAGTTTCTGCTGTCGTCTGGTCAGCTGAGCCGCTGGTTGAAACATCTCTGTCTTCTATTTGCTTCTGATGAAGCTGTGAGAACAGAGGCTTCTCTTCATCATCCTCACTCTTTATAGAAGCAACAGTGAATGGAAACCTGGCAGCATCAGTCTCCTTCAAATGGAGATGCGCCCCTTCCATACTGGGCCAGAGTTTCTCCTGTTCCTCCTTTATGTGGAGAAAATCTAAGTCCTGCTGGTTGACACCAGCGCTATGTTCTTCTAGAGCTTCTTCTTTAACCAGCACCACCTGTTGAAAAGCTGTAGGAAACACAGAAACGCATGATGTGAATTACCGACAGCTGTAACTGTGTTTTCAAACATATAACAGGAGCCCTGACAAACAGCCAAGTAAAAGACGCATAATAACACCTATAATAAAAAGACCTTTTTTCCCTGCACACTGATCCAGGACATGAAAATTCAGTGAGCTGCATACTGACTAGAAAGTTTGTCCTTATAGCCTGGTGATATTGTGTGTGTGTGTGCGCGTGTCTTACATCCGCTGTGAGGACACATTTTTTCACCTCTAACATGGGGACATTTAAAAATTGTGAGGACATTTGCTAGGTTATCACAGTAAATAAAAACCTAATTTGGTTTTAGAGGTATGGTGTAGATTAACTTTTAGTTGAGGTTAGAGTTGGGAATACACAGGGGTGGACCTTTAAAGCCCCCGAGCGCCAATGGTGCTAAATTTTCTCGTCGGGCGGTAAATAATTGACGACTTACCCCCCCCGGGTGGCACCCAAGCCTTTTTTGTCATTCACACACAGACTTTCACCTACATCATGGCTGCGCCCTGTAGAAAGCCGCCGTTTTCGATTCGCGCACGTGAACCTGCACGCCTCTAGTCACGTACTGCATGGCACTGCGCAGGTTCACATGACAAGAGGCGAGTTCACTATAAAAGACGGAGTGGAACCACGCTAGAAACACACAAGCACGCAGGAAGATGGCGCCACTACAGGGAAGGGATTTCTTGATGAAGCCTTCGGCAAAAACGGTTTAAATTTGGTGAGGAGAAGCGAGACAGTTCGAAATGGTATGAAGCAGAAAAGCATGTGCGTATGTGGAATTATTCTTGGCGGTTTAAAGAAGACGGGAGGCGCCGAGAATGGCTCGAGTACAGCAAAGCGGAGGAGGTGATGTACTGCGTTGTATGCTGGAAGTATATGACAGCAAAATCGAGTTTTGTTGAGGGAACAAATTCAAACTAGAATACGTTAAAGACCACGAAAAAACAGCGAGCCACATGAAGGCAGAAGACTGCTCTTGCAAATACAGCAATGGTAGGAGTGTCACCAGCTGCAAAGGCCCTCATGGCAATGACGAAAGCACAGCAAGACAAACTGGAAAAATTGTTTCGTACGGCTCACGCCATTGCAAAGAAAGGAAGGCCATACACAGACTTCACTTGGATGTGCGAGTAAGTATTATTTGCTTAACAAATTATCAAAATACTGGGTTTGATCTGTTTAACGATGTGTTTTTGTCAATTTCATTGTTTGATGGAGAAAAAATAGAACCAGAAAAGATGCACTGTAAGCCATCTTTGATTTAAAAAAATAATAATTTCTGTTTAACTGTCATCTTTTGCTTTTTTTTTTTTTTTTAAAGATTTCCTTTTAAAAAAAACGTTCCTTTTTAAATTATTTTCACCTTTTCTTCCAGCCAGCCATAAATATATGGTTTCATGATGTCCAACGGCGAAGGCGTCTTCATTTCATGGATGGAAAGACTTCCACTGCTGCTGAGATGGACGACACAGAGCCAGAGGAAGATTTCATGTGTGTGGGTCAGGGCCGCTTGCTCTCCATGATGAGCAAGAAATATGAGGACGAGCTTGACAAGAACTTTGAGGTGGAGTAACATACTAGTCCACCACTAGCCAAATATTCAGCCTGCATCACAAAGGTGCCAGAGACTGACACAGTGCTGGTTGTAAATATATACAGAAAAGTTTATTATGTTTGTGAATGTGTGCAAAATAAAGGTTTAATACATTTAAAACAGTTCAGTTGCTATTTTGACTCTTTTTGGCAGCTGACCTGTGGGGCTGGTAAATTTTCAGAGTTATCGGCCCGGCTGGCCGGTTGGTTTTGAAGTTAATGTCCACCCCCGGAATACAGCAACAGTAGTTACTTAACCAGACTGGTAATCGAGAGAACTGGGAAATGGCCTGCCATTACCCTGGCCCACTCAGTGATTGCCGTCAGTCATGACATTCTTCATGTCTAATGGGCCATTCCCATCTGTACCGGGTCGGCCCCGGCCGGGTAGCCTCAGTCGGCCCCAGCCTGGCCCGGTTGATTCCACACATCCTTGCCTTAAGCCCATGTGGGCTGATTCTACCCACCAATCAGAGGCTTGCTCTAATGGAAGGTGTGAATTTGCTGTCAGCAGTGGGTGTGTTGGCCCTGGTCGGCCTGAAGCAGACCCCCTCGAGAAGAGGGCTGAGAATGAGCCTTGGTTGGCCCGGAAAAATACCAGGCCACCCAGATATGTAAACAACCTACGCTACCGGGCCGACCCGGTACAGATGGGAATGGCCCATAAATGAACAATCCGTCATGTGACTAATCGGGCCTGTATTGGCGCTTTCACATCTGGGCATGCACGGATCGGACTGTGTGGCATTTGTCCGGGTCCTGCACCAGTAGGTTTTGTTCACACACACTTCTCATGAATGGGGAAATCTCCTAGCTAGTGGGCTGGGCCAAATAAATCACAGAGAAAGTCAGCGGTGACTCCCTTAAACAATGGCTGTGCAGCTTAAATCTCTTTGTGTGTTTCTGTGTGTGTGTAATCCTTACAGCAGTGAGGAGCGACGCCGCTTCAGTCAGAGGCAATACTAAACGGTATCCATGATAATGAATTGCGCATGCAAGAAGGTCCCGCTGCTTGGTTCAATCTGCCAATCGAAGGCTCCCACTAACGGTAGGCGTGTTTTTGAACCGGCCAATCAGTTGGTAATGGGTGTGTTGGACCTGTTCAGCCCAAAGCAGACCTCCTTGGTAAGTGGGCCAAAAAACCGACTAGTTTAGTGTAGAAAATTATAAGACTACCTAGATATGGGCACTTTAAAAGCTACCCAGTCTGGTCCATGCTGGCCCAGATGAGAAAGCACCATAAGTGACCATTTTGGAAGAACCAGTATAAGGTGGTGTTTTCGGACCAGTTGAGTTAACACGAAGTGCACATTGCGCAATGATGAGTATGCAGGGTGGGTTTGAGTGAGTAAGAAGAAACAATGGCTGCCAGAATTTAATAATCTGATCATCATCACCTGACACCACTTCTAAGTTTGACCTTTCATCATACTGGGACTTTTTTCTAGGGTACAATGCGTACCTGTAAATTTTCCTGGTATTTATTAGTCCAGATTTCTGAGATTTCTGAAAAACATATCTGTGTTCAGAAAAGAACCAAATAATGGAATTGGATAACAAACACAGATATTTAACAAAGATGTTCAAAGCCTTTCCTCCACCCACAGCACAGTCAGAGCCGCTTGAATAGAATAGAGTAGACTATAATTCCTACAGTGGGGAAAATCACTCCTTACAACAGAACATACACTTAGAGACAGTTGAGCTAGTTGCGAGACAGAAGCCATCTGGCTCTCCACTTGACGTTCTGCCACCTCGTCTCTGGAAGGCTGCCTTTCCGTGCCTTGGCCCTTAACTTGGTCAGATTATCAATGGGAGCCTCAGCACAGGTGTTGTCCCAGCTGCTTTGAAAGCAGCAGTTATTCGGCCGACCCTGAAGAAACCTGGTGCTGATGTCTCTGTGATAGAAAATTACAGGCCTATCGCTACCCTGCCCTTTACATCTAAACTGCTTGAGAAAGTCGTTTATCAGCAGCTGGTCTCACATTTAGCTGACTCTGATCTGTTTGAGGTTTTCCAATCAGGGTTCAGGTCTGGCCATAGCACAGAGTCTGCTCTACTGAGGGTCCTAAATGACATCTATCTATCACTAGATCAGGGTACATCTGTGCTGCTTCTGTTGTTAGACCTAACAGCAGCCTTCGACACAGTTGACCACGCAATTCTACTCGATCGCTTGGAACGATGGGTTGGGATCAAAGGGTCTGCTCTGGATTGGTTTAGATCGTATCTCCAAAACAGGACATTCTGTGTTAAACTGGGTGATGTTTTTTCTTCTTGGGAGGGGCTCCGCTGGGGGGTCCCGCAGGGGTCGATCCTTGGTCCTCTTTTGTTTGCCATTTATCTGCTACCTCTGGGGTCAATCTTTCGTAAACATGGCCTATCATTCCATCTGTATGCTGACGATTGCCAGATTTACTCTCCATTGTGTCAGGAGAAAGGTCACTCCATTCAGTCCTTTGTCTCCTGTGTTAATGAGGTGAAGTCTTGGCTAATGTCCAACTATCTACATCTGAATGAGGGAAAGACAGAGCTCATTGTTTTTCACCCCAACAGCAGGAATGTGGATCGTTATGCTGATCTTGGCCCTCTTTCTCCATACTCTAAACCAGTTGTTACCAGTTTGGGGGTGAAACTTGATGTAGGACTTAAATTTGACGCTCACATCAATTCTGTGATCCGGTCCAGTTTCTTTCACCTGAGACGCCTTGCTAAAATCAAGCCTATGCTGTCGAGAGCCCACCTGGAGCAGGTACTGCATGCCTTTGTTATTTCTCGGCTTGACTACTGCAACTCTCTATATGCAGGGTTGTGTCAGTCAACACTGCATCACCTACAGGTTGTGCAGAACAGCGCTGCCAGGTTCCTGACTGGGACCAGGAAACGGGACCACATCAGTCCGGTTCTGGCCTCTCTGCACTGGCTTCCGATTTGCTATCGCTCACAATTCAAAATCCTCGTCTTTGTTTATCATTTCTTCCAGGGTGGTGGTCCCCCCTATCTGGCCACTCTCCTGAACAAACATTCCCCATCACGTGCTCTGCGCTCCTCTGACCAAGGCCTGCTCTCTGTCCCTCGGTCTAGGTGTCGTACCCGTGGGGACCGGGCTTTCTCAGTCCTAGCACCGTCACTCTGGAACCAGTTGCCACCCTCAGATAGGCTGTCCCCTTCTCTGCCAGTCTTTATGAATCACCTCAAAACACACCTCCTCCGCTTGGCGTTTCCAGAACATGTTTGATTTTGCCCCTCTATTATGTTGAATCCATTCCACAGTTTTCATTGGTACACTCAATCCATCCACTCAATCCAAATGTGTTTCACACATTTGTCCTTTACCAGAATGTTTCATCTATCTTGTAATTTCCATTT